TCTAGACTTTATGAATTTAAGTGCAGTACTTGATTGGCGGCAAGGTCTCATCATTTTACCGTTGAAATGGCTAGATGTAACCGTAAGTTCTATGCTAACAGTTTCTTATCTCGCATAAGATTCACTTATTGGAATCTCAGCTTCAGTCACTTTCCTACCACCATAATGTAGCTTTCCTTTGCCTTTCCTTTAAATAATTTCATGTTAATTCTTCTTTTCACTATGGTACATAGACTTTATGAATTTAAGTGCATTACTAGATTGGCAGCAAGGTCTCATCATTTTACACTTGAAATGGCTAGATGTAACCGTAAGTTCTATGCTAACAGTTTCTTCTCTCACATAAGATTCACTTATTGGCATCTCGGCTTCAGTCACTTTCCTACCACCATAATGTAGCTTACCTTTGCCTTTCCTTTTAAATAATTTCATTCTAATTTTCTTTTCACTATGGTACATAGATTTTATGAATTTAAGTGCAGTACTAGATTGGTCATGAGGTCTCATCATTTTACAGTTGAAAATGGCTAGATGTAACTGTGTTCTATGCTAACAGCTTCTTCTTCTCACATAAGATTCACTTATTGGCATCTCGGCTTCAGTCACTTTCCTACCACCATAATGTAGCTTACCTTGCCTTTCCTTTTAAATAATTTTCATTCTAATTTTTTCACTATGGTACATAGACTTTATGAATTTAAGTAGTACTAGATTGGTGGCGAGGTCTCATCATTTTACAGTTGAAATGGCTAGATGTAAACGTAAGTTCTATGCTAACAGTTTCTTCTCTCACAAGATTCACTTTGTTGGCATCTTGGCTTCAGTCACTTTCCTACTACCATAATGTAGCTTTTCTTGGCCTTTCCTTTAAATAATTTCATGTTAATTCTTCTTTTCACTATGGTACATAGATTCTTTATGAATTTAAGTGCATTACTAGATTGGCAGCAAGGTCTCATCATTTTTACACTTGAAATGGCTAGATGTAACCGTAAGTTCTATGCTAACAGTTTCTTCTCTCACATAAGATTCACTTATTGGCATCTCGGCTTCAGTCACTTTCCTACCACCATAATGTAGCTTACCTTTGCCTTTCCTTTAAATAATTTCATTCTAATTCTTCTTTTCACTATGGTACATAGACTTTATGAATTTAAGTGCAGTACTAGATTGGTCGCGAGGTCTCATCATTTTACAGTTGAAATGGCTAGATGTAACCGTAAGTTCTATGCTAACAGTTTCTTCTCTCACATAAGATTCACTTATTGGCATCTCGGCTTTCAGTCACTTTCCCTACCACCATAATGTAGCTTACCTTTGCCTTTCCTTTAAATAATTTCATTCTAATTCTTCTTTTCACTATGGTACATAGACTTTATGAATTTAAGTGCAGTACTAGATTGGTGGCGAGGTCTCATCATTTTACAGTTGAAATGGCTAGATGTAACCGTAAGTTCTATGCTAACAGTTTCTTCTCTCACATAAGATTCACTTATTGGCATCTTGGCTTCAGTCACTTTCCTACTACCATAATGTAGCTTTCCTTTGCCTTTCCTTTAAATAATTTCATTCTAATTCTCCTTTTCACTATGGTACATAGACTTTATGAATTTAAGTGCAGTACTAGATTAGTGGCGAGGTCTCATCATTTTACACTTGAAATGGCTAGATGTAACCGTAAGTTCTATGCTAACTGTTTCTTCTCTCACATAAGATTCACTTGTTGGCATCTCGGCTTCAGTCACTTTCCTACCACCATAATGTAGCTTACCTTTTGCCTTTCCTTTAAATAATTTCATTCTAATTCTTCTTTTCACTATGGCACATAGACTTTATGAATTTAAGTGCAGTACTAGATTGGTGGCGAGGTCTCATCATTTTACAGTTGAAATGGCTAGATGTAACCGTAAGTTCTATGCTAACAGATTCTTCTCTCACATAAGATTCACTTATTGGCATCTCGGCTTCAGTCACTTTCCTACTACCATAATGTAGCTTACCTTTGCCTTTCCTTTAAATAATTTCATTCTAATTCTTCTTTTCACTATGGTACATAGACTTTATGAATTTAAGTGCAGTACTAGATTGGTGGCGAGGTCTCACTATTTTACAGTTGAAATGGCTAGATGTAACCGTAAGTTCTATAAGCACAGTTTCTTCTCTCACATAAGATTCACTTATTGGCATCTCGGCTTCAGTCACTTTCCTACCACCATAATGTAGCTTACTTTTGCCTTTCCTTTAAATAATTTCATTCTAATTCTTCTTTCACTATGGTACATAGACTTTATGAATTTAAAGTGCAGTACTAGATTGGTGGCGAGGTCATCACCTTTTACAGTTGAAATGGCTAGATGTAACCGTAAGTTCTATGCTAACAGTTTCTTCTCTCGCATAAGTTTCACTTATTGGCATCTCAGCTTCAGTCACTTTCCTACCACCATAATGTAGCTTTCCTGTGCCTTTCCTTTAAATAATTTCATTCTAATTCTTCTTTTCACTATGGTACATAGACTTTATGAATTTAAGTGCAGTACTTGATTGGTGGCGAGGTCTCATCTTTTTACTGTTGAAATGGCTGGATGTAAATGTAAGTTCTATACTAACAGTTTCTACTTTCACACTTCTCGCTTGTGGAACTCTCTTTCGGCTACTTGCTTCCCAGCTAACTTCAATCTCTACAAATTTAAAATACAATATCAATCGTCATATTCTGTTTTCTTCATTCCTGTTCGATTTTTCTCATATTCTTTTACATTCAGTAACCCCATGCATCTTAGTGGCTTTATTGTTTTGCTTGGGATGAAATGAAACACACACACACACACACACACACACACACACACACACACACACACACACACACACACACACAAAAACAAAAACAAAAATAACAAACAAAAAAACATCATCCGTAGAACAACACAATTTGTCCTGATGACATGGGGGAACTTAATTAGTTCCACTTTTAGTTTCTCTTTGCCCTAATCTTACCACATTCTAAATCTTGGTTCTTTGCCTCAGCCGCATATTATTATGAAACCGGAAATGACTGTCACCAGTATTTCTACAGCCGCTGAATGCTGAAGGGCAAAAGCGAGTTGAAGGTACAGTTTGAAGTGAAGGCTGCGGCCCTCATTTCTCGAGTACCGGTAGGAGTGGGGCAGGTGGTCGTTGCCGATCATTTTGAATTAAAACGTCCTTCAACGCGCTGACCCATTTCACAATTATCGGTAAGCTATGTTATTGCCTTGTGATGGACGGAGATGATCGGGCAGGATATTAAAGTCCCCTCTTCATTGGCCCTTGTTAGATGGAGAAAGCAGAATGCTTTATTGAACACAGGCACAACTATATCAGTGCATACGCATACACGCCAGCACACATATGCGTGTATTTAGACATGTGTTTAAACATGTACGTAAACACATACACAATATATATATATATATATATATATATATATATATGGTTCGAATCGTACATTATGTACATTTTAAACACACCCTTATATATATATATATATATATATATATATATATATATATATATAAATATAAAACACTCTTATTATATATATATATATATATATATATATATATATATATATATATATATATAAAGGTGTGTTAAAATGTACATATAATACAATTCGACTCGCTTCTGAAATCAGTATTTTAACAACCGAAAAAATCAGAATACTGGTTTTGAAAATTGAAAATAGGTGAACAAATATTATCACGCAGAAGTTATGCATTTTTCAAAATAATCCTTATTATATATATATATATATATATATATATATATATATATATATATATATATATATATATATATGTGTTACTAAAATATCCATATATATATATATGTGTATAATGAAACTTGTATAAAAGAGAGTTTTCTACCCAAATACGCAGTATATATATATATATACATTCTGTTTATGCGTTATTTTCATAGATACAAATATTTAAATGAATGCACTGTTTATAACTACATTTACCGGTCTGAAAGTCCGAGAAATTTCATAGAAAATATGTTCTTTCCAACAAGTATCCTACACGGAACCTTCATATTGCCTGACGTGCTATACCATTTAGCTACAGTTATCAACGAGCAAGATGTGTAGTGAGTTACCTGAGAAGTATTCCGTTTAACAATGGTGGGATATTCATATCATGAGCAGGCAGATATGGTTTTTACATACGCCCGCGCGAATGGTAATGTCTGCGAGTGTGCACGGCTGTATCAGATTACGTTTCTAGACCGAAAGTAACCGAGTAATCCAGCCTTTTGCCCTTGTTGTGGTGTGAGAAACCCGCCCCAATGTTTGTAAAAGTATTAGCGAGATGAAATGCGATTTGAGTTAAGCAACTGAAGGCATGGCGCAGATTTATTGATCGAATTGAAGTCATCAAAATTGTCATATATATTTAGTTTTCCATCAAAGTATATATATATATATATATATATATATATATATATATATATATATATATCTACAGATTGGTTCTGAGAATTTTTTTTCATACATATATATCTATGTTGGCTGATATCCTTTGACGAGTGGACGGAGGATTGCTGGAGGTTTGTCTACGAAACTTTAGAGTTGAGAATTCTGTAGGTAACACCAATCATATAAGTGAGAATCTTATATTTGTATTAATTTTCTCTCTATATATATATATATATATATATATATATATATATATATATATATAAAACTTTATTCACATGCACAAAGAGAGAAACGCATCGGCTAAAACTACTCAGATTTTCTATTTTCTTTTATTCCTTTATACACATTGTATTTTTCTACAGAATATTCCTGAGAATTTTTTCATACATATATATCTATGTTTTCAAGTATATATACGTGTTTCTGGCTGAGCCATGTTCGAAGTCGGTTAAAACCTTGCGGTCTCTCGCCGTCATCAAAATGGTGGTGAGTGCCACTTTATAAAGTTCTGGCAGACATTTCCTTATTTTTTTCTTTCAATTCACATTTTAATTTCCTCTCTGAGAGAATTCATTCCGAATAAGTGGGGATATGTCTGAACAGGATGAAATAGTCGGGCAAATGTTGGGAAGAAAACAAGAGAAAGGAAGACAAATCTAAAGGAAAAACTGAAAGAATCATAGAAGAAAAGAAAACGTATTAAGAAAGAAAGAAAGAAAGAAAGAAAGAAAACAATAAAGAAAGAGTGGGCCTAGGGAAAAAAAAGAAAGGAGAAGTGTAGAATTAAAGAGAAGGGATAGAAAAATGACGATAGTAAAAAAAGAAAAGGCGAAAGAAATTAGGTTAAAAAGAAAGAAAAAAAGTAAATAAAGATGAAAGATTTTTTTCCTTTTCGGTCGCAATTTTTTTCGTCACTATTTTTAAGTATGGCGTTTTGAAAGGACGAGTGTGAGAAATATAAGAGAAGAGAACTATTAAGAAAGAAAGAAAGAGGGGTTCTAGAAAAAAAAGAAAGAAAGGAGAAGTGTAGAATTAAAGAGAAGGGATAGAAAAATGACGATAGTGAAAAAAGAAAAGGCGAAAGAAATTAGGTTAAAAGAAAAAAGTAAGTAAATAAAAATCTATTTTATTTCTTTTTCGATCGCAATTTTTTTCGTCACTATTTTTAAGTATAGCGTTTTGAAAGGACGACTGTAAGAAATATAAGAGAAGAGAAACTGTATTAAGAAAGAAAGAAAGAAAGAAAGAAAGAAAGAAGAGTTCTAAAAAAAAAAGAAAGAAAGGAGAAGTGAAGAATTAAAGAGAAGGGATAGAAAAATGACGATAATGAAAAAAGAAAAGGCGAAAGAAATCAGGTTAAAAAAAGAAAGAAAGAAAGTAAATAAAGATGAAAAAGGAAAAAACAAAAATAAATAAATAAAAACAAACGAAAGTAAAACTTGAAAGAAAAAAAAGTTGCACAAGGAAAGATAAAGTGGAAGAGAAGAGTGAAAAATAAAAGAAAACAAAAAACGAAAACTAGAAAAAGTGAAGAGGAAGAGAATGATTTTAGAAAAAAAGGAAAAGTCAAGATAACGAAAGTCGATCAGAAATGTCTGGATGAGGAAACCAAGTTATAGAATCGTTACTTAGATTCAACGAGAACGAAACGAATAAAAGCAAGGAAAGATAAGCGAGTCACGAGAATATATGAAAAAACCTCGTACGGCGGGAAGAGTAAGTCATTATGAAAACCAAAATAAAGGAGAGAACATTTACAAGAAAAGATCGGGAAATGGGAAAAGGTGAAAGAAAAATCTAGAAAATGGGAGATAATTACCCATAAACAATCTGAAAAAAGATAAGCAAAAAAAAAAAACAAAAACAAAAAAAAAAACTCCTTTTCCATAATAGTTGATACATATATATATATATATTAAAGCCAATAAATCCATTGCTATATAATCAAAGTGGATCTTAGTACTATAAAATATTAAAACAGATACACAAAAATAGATCAAAGTATTTATTTATTATTATAGAGAAAATAATTAATGCACAATAAAATCTCAAATCACCTCATATGGGGAGTAGGCTTATTTTAGCCGACAAAAAATTGGTCAGTCTTATTCATCCTCGGAGTATATACCGGTATTGAATAAGACTGAAGAATTTTCGTTGGTTGAAATAAGCCTATTCCTCATATGAGTTAATTTGGGTTTTATTATACTATATATATATATATATATATATATATATATATATATATATATATATATATATATATATATATATATATAGTGCTCCACAGACAGACTGTTTTGCAGCATCATCAGTATGGCTAAACACAAATTTGACCTCAGTCGGAGACTCTAACTTTTAAAGCCATCAGCACACGCGGTGAAAGGTAGTTTTTGACGCATTATATACGAGATATAATCTCATATCTCATTTCTTCTTACACGCTGACTTGTGAGCTTTTCTTTACCCCTCAGGACAGCTTTTTTTTCATGTCAAATTTACTTTTAACCTCCGATAAAATTTCGAAGCATATTCTCGTTTTTCAGACGGTGGCTGAATATTTAACGACTAAAAGCAATTTGTAATAAAGGCGCGGTCAAAATATATTCTGTTGACAATTGTTTAGGGAAATAAATCCAGACTATTCGGAGTTTGCTGGACAGTTTCAATTATATATGTGTTAATTTGTTAAATTGGATTCTTATTTCTAAATAAATAAATACATTACTATGTTAGATATCCGTGTTTGAGAAATGCCAACACACATATCATGTTCAAATTGGAAAAATGACCTAATATCAGAATTTTTTGGGATGGGTTTTTGGTCAGGTTATATATATGTGTGTGTGTGTCTGTGTGCGCGCATGTGTGTGTGTGTGTGTGTGTGTGTGTGTAATAAATTTGGTTATGTAATTCCGATAGAGTTATAAGTTATTGACATTTGGAAAAAGTTGATGAAAGTATGTTTCGAAAATAATATCCGATAATGCATTTCGCCTCTATGGCTTCATCAAATGGCTAACGAAAAATGTATTGTGGGTGTATGCATTTGTTTGTGTTTAAAATAATTATATTTTGTATTATTTTCCCTAAGCTGACGTTACTCGAAACTAAAAAAGAAAGAAAACAAGTGAAATGAGTGTCGACAGTATGTAATAAATTTGGGTATGTAATCCCGACACAGTTATAAGTTATTGACATGTAGAACGCATAAATAAAAACAATTCTTTCATCTCTCTTTTCTAGCCATTCTGAAGGATTTCCATCTCAAAAATTGTACATTTAAGTCGGAAAATATAAAATGTTAAACGATTTAAAAAAAAAAATTAAACATTTTCTTTCTTTTTTTTTAATCTCGAACAACGCCAGCTTGGGAAAAATATTATAAGAGTTAATTATTTTAAACAAACACAAATTCTTAGACACACAACACATTTTTCGTTATCCATCTGATGAAGCCATATAGGCGAAATGCATTATCGGATATTATTTTCGAAACATACTTTCTTGAACGTTTATATATATATATATATATATATATTATGAAATGGATAAAGTCCGACAAATAGTTCAAGGCATTTTTATGCTTATACATTCTTTTTATAGATACAAATATTTAATTAAATACTCTGTTTTATAATAAACAGTTTTAAATAACATTTACCGGCTTGAATGTCCGAGAAATTTTCATAGAAAATATTCGTCCTCCGACAGGAATCGAACCTGCATCCTATACGGAACCGTTATATAGCCTGACGTTCCTTAACCGATTGGGCCACAGAGGATTGTTCTGTTAGCAAGGTCGATTTTACTGCTTTTAGTATAAACAGAGCATTTGCTTAAATATTTGTATCTATAAAAAGAATGTATAAACATAAAAATGTCTTTATATATATATATATATATATATATATATATATATATATATATATATATATATATATATATATATATATATATACGTAACTAAGGTCTGCTCAGCATCCTTACACTATAAACCACAGAGGAGGCGTCTGCGATAGGGATTGATAGCCGCCTTTAGTAGACGGGTATCCTCGAATACGAGTGGCCAGTAATATTTTTCAATTTATATATATATATATATATATATATATATATATAACGAAAGAACAGTAAGATATATTATCCGGTGTTCTTATTGAATTTTTTTTTATTTTTACAAAACAGTGCTCAATGTAAATTTACAGAGCATAAATTAACTGATTTAAAATATATTTTTTTCACTACACAGTAATAACCATGTTTCAAAACTGGAAGGTAAAAAACTTTAAATTTAATTAAGGAGGTTGTAGTCTGGAGCGTTAGGTGGCCAGATATAAGGGGTGATATGGGCGCAGAAATTGTTTGACAGCCATTTCTGGATTCTCCTGCTTACGTGAAATGGTGTAGATTCATGTTGCCAGAAATAAGGTCTTCTGGCAACAACCCTTTTGATGCAGGGCAGCACTACTTTCTATAGGCACATGAGGTAAGCCTCTGTGTTGAGTTTGAGGCCCTCACCATCAAATTCGTGAGGTCTTTTCTTCTGAGAACGATCTGAGTGAGTTGCTGTACATTCTTAATCACCATTAGACTCATCCAACTCTTTCCCATTCTTCTACAATGTCGTCAGTCTGACACCCAAACACTCGGGAATGTTCGTATTGGAGCTTCCGTCACGAATGTCAAGCAGTACAGCATAACGTTCCCAAATTGGTAGTCTTTGTCTCACAGACGGTGTCCGACTGACCCTACTATACTGTGCAGTCGACAAAATCAAAAACAAACAATTCCGCATGCTCAAAATTAAGAATATCAAAAGGCGACAATTTACCCATTGCATCATATATATATATATATATATATATATATATATATATATATATATATATATATATATGTCATGGCTTGGTTTTACAAAGCGAATATTAAGAGGGAGTCTGTACATGTCGCTTGTAGGCATGTTTATGACTGATAAGTCCAATGCAGGACCAGCATACACGATCGCCCTAGTTGCAGCTCGATAGTATAGTATTGCAGTAATTCCTCCTTTGCTTATTGTTTCTGAGAGCAGCAAGTATTTTCAAAGAAGGAGACAGCATGGTTGGCGGTGAGACGCCAAGTGTCACGGTTCTCAGCTATGGTTTACCATTGGCAATTGTTGATGTGACAGGCAACAAAGAATTAACTAACTTCTTTGGTGCCCTTCTGCCGCGATAGTCAGTGGACAGATCGCCATACAATAAAATTTTAGGCAGACGATGATTCTCCATTCGGGAAACATGTCCATCCCAGCGTAACTGGGGCTTCAGCAGCAAGGCCTCAATGCTGGTGATCTTCGCCTTTTCGAGGATTTCAGTATTGGAGATGAAGGTCACTCCAGTTTATGTTAAGGATCGTGTGGAGGCAGCGCTGGATGAATCGTTCGAGGAGTGGTGTCGGTAAATGACCCATGACTCTGAGCCGTATAGGAGAGTGGAGAGGGCGATAGCTTTATACATTCTGATCTTAGTGCCTTTCTTACGGTGTTTTATTGTATCACACACACTTTTGTACAGTCTACCAAATGCAATGCTGTTGTCGACCTCCTTGATCCCAGTAATATATATATATATATATATATATATATATATATATATGCCATTTCGGCCGAAACTAGTCGAGGAATCTAAATGAAATAATAATAAAAAAAAACGAAAGAATATTAATCTACAACACAGTGTGTCTGAAGATTTTAATTTTTTATTTTTTTTTTATTGTATATATATATATATATATATATATATATATATATATATATATATATATATATATATATATATATCCAAGTATAGGATTGGTATATACGAATAAATTCCAATAACTAACAAACACACTATTCTTAAAAGAGTACTCAATACAGAGTAGAGCAATATAATTATTTATTCGAAAATTATAACATAAGTATGTGTTGTGGTAGGATCCACCTAATTTGCATAATGGAGTACCGACCATATAAATATGGTTGGTACCGGGAAGAAAGGAGGGGAATCAAGAGATTCAATCCAGAGACTCTACCCGACTGCGACTAAGTCAACACATTCTCCAGGAACAGTCTTCCCAGGAATAAACAAAAGACTATATGTAAATATTGTGTACACTTTCTTGTTTCAATACATTTTGTTATAAGTACATTTTGTGTTGCATTATTATTCCATGCATTAGTCAAGTTTCAACAGTATGTTATAAAATCACTACAATAATAGTCATTTTGATTCAACACTTCTGGTGTCTTATCAAGTGATGGTGTTGTATATATATATATATATATATATATATATATATATATATATATAAATGTTAAAACAAGAGGAAGGGTATGAATCCTCTTCTCCCTCCAGCTATGGTTAAATAGACAGACTGGGTTCTATAGCCTTGGATGGCAACTAGTCAAGAACAACTCTGATTTCAAAACCTACGTAAGATCGTTTGGGGACCTTGTGGCACATAGTGCACCAGGTCTGTGTATTCGGCCCTTCAAAAAGTCTGGATGGTTCGGCAGAAAACCTTCACCACTATAATCAAATCGCATATGCTGGTGTCGGGCTGTCGGTTCCTAGGAACTGACCTCCTTGATCCTCATACGTCGAATTCGACGGGAGGGTCGAATTCGACGGGAGGGTCGAATAATATATTAAAAACAACAAACGTTTTGCGTCGATTATTTTTACTGATGGACAAATTACGAATAATCTATTTTAGCTAAGGAGGGAATATCCGTCGAAAATTGTCCGAAGTTTGGAAGAAAAGTACAAGAAATATGGTCCAAATATTCTACTTAAGTAATCATCAGGGTTGGTAGAGACTAATTAGTACCGTGACGTTTGCAAGGCGTGTTGTGACGCATGGGAGGTATGACGTGTTTTTATTTTTTATATACATTTGAAGATACCAACAAGTTATAATCAGTTTTATTTATGGATGATTGTTTTTACTGTATGAATCTTGATGCAAGCATTATAAGTTTGCTTTTACTGTTTGATTTCGCTTATATTGTGGTATTGTTTGTGAGTAGCTGTGTAATGTGACTATGATCCTTAACACTTCGGCTGCTAACTACGGAGATCTTCGTTTTTCTTATCTTGCTCCAACTGGCTAAGTACGGAAACCTACGTTTTTTGCATACCGCTGGTATGAGTGTCCCGTTGCGCCACCTATCGTAAAATCACAAAGGACAATGCTTCAAAGATATGTGTATATCCATTACTGACCAATGGACTAATATATATATATATATATATATATATATATATATATATATATATATATATATATATATATATTAGAGTGGGTAGAATGGATATCAACCTGTTTTAGTGGACTCAGCAGTTTTCAATCGTCTTCAAGAAGCGAGACCAAGCTTTAAAAGGTCAGCCACTCTAACAGTGATCTCATCCCACAATCCTTACACTTGCTCCATATGTGGCCTGCTTTGTAAATCACTAGTGGGTCTTAAGTGCCACTTAAGATTATCGCACAAAATGTCATAACTGAATCAATTGGTTAAGTTTTCAGACCCTCATACGTCGAATCCGACGGGAGAGCCCATTATATATTGGTAGATAGATAGATTGAAATCGAGATAGAAAGATAGTGATACTAATATATAGCTAGAAAAAGACAGAAATTGTGATAGGCAGATTGAAATTGAGACAGAAAGTTAGTGAGACAGATAGAAACAGACTGAGATAGATAGATAGATAGATAGATAGATAGATAGATAGATAAATAGATAGATAGATAGATAGATAGATAGATAGATAGATTCTTGATAGTTAGCGTCAATATTTTCCTGTTGTCATTCCGTTCCACTATAATTGACCGCTCGGTAGCCATTTTGATTTTGTTTCTTTTTTCCTCCATTAACATCATTGCTGTTGCACATAGTTTCACTAATTGAATAAAAGAAAAAAATATAATGCAATAAAGAGCGTGAGAAACGCGAGGCCAGTACAAAACTTCCTTAAAGTTTTTTTTATTTGTGCAAGTAACATAAATCTAAGCAACTTTGAAAGCAAATTCCATTTTGCTTCTTAATACGTATAGACGCTCCATCTTTTTTTTTCATCTTTAAAATGTAATTTCAGATTGCTTGTTAAGCAATGAGTGATGGGTAATTTTTTGCCTTTGAAAAGATTCTCATGCGTCTGACACGAAAGGATTTGAACAATGAAAATAAGCAGTGTTTTTTATTTTCTTTAATATACTTTCGATGTGTGTGGGTTAAACAAAATGTCTGGCTATGGAATCCTTTAATTCAGAAAGAGACAGACAGACAGTTTTAGATAAACAGAGAATATGCGTGCGTGATAGATAGATAGATAGAAAGATAGAGAGATAGAGAGAGAGAGAGAGAGAGAGAGACAGACAGACAGACAGACAGACAAGACCTGCAAAAGAACATAAATTCGTCCTTTCGGCAGCCCAAAGATAATCGACAACACTAAGATGGTAATCGATTTAAACATTTTGTATGTAAGATGATTTTATTGTTAAAAAACGATGAATTTTATTGGGATTGGTACTGGATTGGATTTTCCGTTACCTTCTCCAGGGTGATTGTATTGAGACACTACAACCTATTCACTATTCAATTTTCGATCAGATCCCGAAAGTTTTACGGCTGCCAACCAGAAAACTTGAATTTGCTACAAAGGACAGGAAATTGGGGAGAGCCATGACTACCAATGTACTGAAGGGTCACGGCACATAGAACAGGATTTAAGATAATAAACGTAGTAACAAAAGTTAAGTTTATATATACCAATAACTTTAAATTCAGATAAAATGCATTTATTATAGTGCAAACATAGTACGAGGCCATTTGACTAGATGGCTTTATCTCATGATGTGTTTTGATACTGGTTTGCCTTGCTGTAAATAAAAACTGGGAAAGGCCCGCGTGCAATTTAACAAAGGAACGTATCGTCATAGCGAGAAAAGGAAACGCGAATTCAATTTCCATTATATTGCGTTATTTATTCACGTATTCACCAAGCCCGGACAGGTTAGTTAGGTGTAACTTGAAATGTCTTCGGTGCTGCACCTATCCTCTCGCGACAGATGAATGGATCAGATAATCAAGCGAGAATTTCGAATGCTTTCGGCTCTATTCTACTAACCTCACTCTCGTCACTCTGACTGGTTGTGATATGACATTACCGTAATCCCTCCAACCATTACTGTGCCTCTTCAACCGTGACTGTCACTCTCCCTGACTGTTTCCGTGAAACTCTCTACATCCCCGACCGTCGGCTCATCAGCTTCTTCTTGACTGACTGTTCGAGTATGCCGCTTGACTATATCGCCCCAACTAAAATTCCTTGCCTTCCGGTCGAGTGGCACTGTATCCTGAAAGTTTTCATTTATTTGTTTATTTGTTTCGTATCACTTGACTAAGTGTGTTTATTCAGAAGGAGCTATTATGGTGTACTAGTTTGAAAATTTCAAATTTTCACCGAAAAAAATTTCAAACTTCATTTCACTTCTTCGGATATTAGTAGCAAAAAGTTCTTTGAAATATTTTACTGTTAATTTATCATATATATATATATATATATATATATATATATATATATATATATATATATATATATATATATATATATATATATATATATATATATATATATATATTAATATATATATATATATATATATATATATATATATAATATATATATATATATATATATATATATATATATATATATATTATATATATATATATATATATTATATATATATATATATATATATATATATATATATATATATATATATGTCATGTAGATTTTAGGCTGATGTTCTATGTATGAGGTACAATAAAATAAATTATTTAAGAATTTAATTTGTTTCATCATTTATAATATGTCTTACTGCTTGTATCTGAATATGCTGGCCTGGTAAGTTGACTCATGGCCCTTGTTGCAGAGGAAGCTGCCCCATACTTTGTGTTTGTCCAACACCCGCAGAACGCATTGCTGTTTAGATTGCAACTATGCTGAGCATAATCCTCAATTTGAAAAAAGAAACCGTTCACACAACGCCTCGGGAACGATGACTTTCTTGCTAAGTTCCGAACAGTTTTGTCTACCCAATTTCACTCAAAAGACTTGGATCAAACCATGTTATGTTTTCAGGCACTTACTTACGGTACCACACCCTGGGATTGTCTCCTACAAGAATTCATTTCCTTACCAAATTGTCCATGATGCGATTCAAAAATTGCGTCTCATAGTGGTGGTGGTGTGTGTGTGGGGGGTACTATTCTAACCACTTGGCCATGCACTTACGCCTATTTATAGATCTTGAAGAAAGTTATATGTGTTGAGGTTGTATCTTTCGTCTTTAGAACTGAATTTTATTCCACCAGAAATAAACATTCTTACTTAGACAAAGGCATAAAGACAGAAAATTTCATAAGATAAATCAGATTTTAAAAAACTTAAACAAATTAAATGATATCTAATAGCAAAACAGAATATATTCCACAGTAGATCAATATTGCGTAGCGTGACATATTTTATTTGGATGAACGTCGATCAGAAAAAAGTTCACTTGATAATATTGAGTCGAGTTGATTAATTTTAAGACATATTAACACGTAATGGAATGTCGAAATCAAGCCTTTTCTTTTGTTCAAACTATATTTGAGTTTCAAAGCATTTAGTTGATTCGGTGAAAGTAAATATTGGTCATTTATAATTGAGTCTATAAGAGTTTATTTAGTTCAGGATAGATAACAATTAGTCGTATATACTTGAAAGTATGAACATTTAACTGGTTCGAGAATAAGTACATATTACAGGTTTATAATTGCGTTTCTAAACATTTTCTTAGTTCTGGATATTGGTCGTTTATATTTAAAAGTACAATTATTTATTTCGAAGTTAAGGAAATACTGGTCGTTTAAATTTGATTCTATAAACATTTATTAAGTTCGGCGACACTTGATCACTGATATGAGTCTATAAGCATTTACTTGATTCGGGGCTAGGTATATATTGGTCTTTTATATTTGACACCGGAAACATTATTCAGTTAAGCGACATCTAAATAATGATCGCTGATATGAGCCTAAACACTTCCCTGATATTTACATTGTTGTGAATTATCGCCAAATTTAATTGCATATTGGTGTGTTTCTTTTATTGATAGAAATAATAAATTAGATATAAAGCAGAGATGACATACCGGAAGACTTTTTAAATCTATTTTCGTAGCTCTGCCCAAGAAACCAGGTAAAAATTAATTCGATCTCCTTCGTACAATCAGGTAAATTAGCCACCTAACTAAGCGTATGATCTGGATTCTGATGAATAGTAGGTTCGACAGAATTAGATCTGAAGTAGAAAAAGAATAGTGCGGGTTCGCGAACAATCTATTTAAACTGCTAGGAAAAATCGATTCATTTGGGAAAGATACTCGATTAATGCAGAATATATACTGGGAGTACACCTCCTGAATACGGAGCGAAAATGAATTGATTAAATACGCTAGATTGCAAAAGTGTGTAAGACAAGGATGCATCGGATTTATTTAACGTATACAACGTGACAATCCCAAGAGAAATAGAAATCTTACTCTGATATTATTGGTAAGAACCACTTGGATAACATGATACGAAAATGACAGACACACGAAGATAACTGCGGGAATTTCTAGATAAGTAAATAAAGAAAAGAAGGAAGAAAGAACTAAGCACCAATTCTCAAAGACATAATGCATAGTTGTCAGCAAGAAAGAGAGCCCAATTTACGATCTACTAATTGCAGATGTCAAAACGAAGCAAGTACGGAAGTTTAAATATCTGCGGACAGTCTTAAAATATAACAGAGAATGTGGCACCGAAATCCGAAGACACATTGAAATAATGAAAGGTGATGTGAAAATGTTAAACAACGTATTAAGAAACAGGAACATTTTGTTCGAAACAAAGAATATATTTAATACCAATCCTTCTATATGGCGTTGAATGCTGGACAATTTCCTGACTGATAAAGAAGAGGACATTTCTACGTGTTGTAATGGTTAGTAAGCTTGTCCCGCAAGATCAATTATAACTGCGTAGAAAGTACAGTCCTCACTGGGTGCTCCACACTTTCAGCCTTGTGCCACACCTAAACTACGTTTAGAAAATCTTTTTGTTCACTTCGACGTTGTGTAATTGGTTAGTAAGCCTGTCTCGCTAAATCAATTACGACTGAGTATAAAGTTCAATCCTCATTGGGTGCTCCACACTTTCGGTCTTGTGCCACATCTAATCTACGCTTAGAAAACCATTCCTTGGAAAACCACCGCAGATGAAGAAGTGACTTGAGACAACAGATATACGGTTCTATAGAAGAATACAATGGGAGCAACGAGGAAGTATTAGGAAAAATTTAAACAAAAATGAAACTTTTACTTAGAATCGGAAAGAGACGGTTGAATTTTCTGGAACACATAACGATGAAAAAGGGGTTGGAGAATTTGACACTCACATGGCATAATGAATGAGGAAGAGAAATAACGGGTAACTTACCTAACAAGCTTGTGTAAAGTGGGAGTGAGAGGGATAGTAAAAATACTAATATTGTTACAAAGGAGAGGAAGTTGTCGAGAGTGATCAAGGCTATAAGGAACATGGCGTATAAAAGAATGAACATTCAACAATGGATTACATGTTTTTATCATGAAGTAGATTAAAGAAATAAATATATTGTGTAAAATAAACCTTTTCCATCATTAAGCTACGAAGTCAGTCATCAAAACCAGTTGTATTCTACAATTATAAATACTGTAGGAACGTATATTAACTGTAAAACATAAGTAAAATCCTTACGTAGTGTCTATTAATTTTGTCTTTGTGTCGAATTAAACTCGGCCTACAAAAAATAAATACGAGGACATGCTAAAGCAAAATTGCTCAAAATCTAGATGTAACCTCAAGTTCTATTCTAACAGTTTCTTCTCTCGCACTTCTCGCTTGTGGAACTCTATTCCGGCCTCTTGCTTCCGAGTCAACTTTGATGTCCTGGGTATGACGATAAACTACATCCGACAGCAAGGCCTCTGATCAGGGTTTGAGGAGCGTGGAACCACCTCTTAATTGCTGGTGTTCCCAGGTCCACCTTTACCCGGGATGGTAGTACCTGTTAGGGTCCCTGGTATGGGAAAATAGTTAACACCGAAATTTGTGTAAAAATAGGTTTTAATACCAGAAATACTTTGTAATAAAAAAAATATTACCATTAATAATTTTTGAAGGATAAATTATTATCAGCAATACTGAAAAAATACCAGCAATACAAACAGCTATATATTCTTTGAAAAAAATATGACCATCTATTGATTTCTTCAAGGAAAAATATTCTCAGAAATAGATTTTTGAATGAAAAACATATTACCAGCAATAAAAAT